ACTTACTCATAACGCATTCTTTTAACACTTTTTTTGCTCGTGTCCGTTAAATCAGCGGCGAATGATGACTTTGATCGTTTTAATGATCCTGAAATAATGTGACTTGTATTAGAGTCGGCAGTTTCTTCGACATTACGAAATAATACAAGGTTGTACCTTTTCTAGAAAAGTCACGGTTACTGTCATCTATAATTGTTTTAATTTTCTTCGGCTTGTTTTTCCTCTTAGTCAATCGCGCTTGATAAGCTGCGATCTTATCTAACTCTTTTTTGGCTCTATCTTCGGCCGTATCCTTTTTAGGCTCGTTTTGCACCTTCTTCTTTTTATCCTCTACTATATTGGAAGGCTTCTTTTCGCATTTTTTATTTTTAACAGTTGATCTCTCGGTTAATTGAAGATTTTCTGAAGATAGACAAAATCGTTGATCAATTCACAGTCGCTGTATTATTAGCGACTGTGAAATATTTAAGCACATGCAATATTATGTTATAGTGAAAAACGTTAATACCTTTTTCCATTCTTCTTTCCTTTTTAGATTGGAACCAACTTCGCTGATCTTTGTTCTCTGAATCTTTGAGTAGATTCTCAGCGCGATTCGCTTGGTTTTCAATTTTGGCTAGTTCTCTCTCACTTTTTTCTTCCTGCAGAATCTTCTCCACATTTGGTTCCAGAGATTGTAACTTTTTATTATATTTTTCTATTATATCTGGTGGTATTATCCTGTTCTTAACAGGATTCTTGGCTCGTTTGATAACTTCCTTCACCAAGAAACGTTCCTGTTCGCCGGCTAATGACACAGAAACACCCACGCGTCCTGCTCTCGCAGTTCTCCCGACTCTAATGCGATAACAAACATAAACACTTTTTGTGAATTCTGATATATATGAAAATATTGAGCTGGCTAAAATTTTTAACAACTATACCTGTGTATATAATGTTGAAGAGTAGCAGGCATCACAAAGTTAATAACAGTTTTCACACCACTTATGTCTAAACCTCTCGCAGCAACGTCGGTTGCTATTAAAATATCGATTATCTCATCTTTAAATTTCTGCAAATTTTCCAGTCGTTGTGGCTGCGTGAGATTACCATGAAGCTCTCCAACCTTATAAATATAAAAGAAAACAAAAATATAATATAAATTATTATTATTACATTATTAGATATGTTAATTATAATGATTTACTCACTTTTACTCCTAATAGTCCCAACAAAATATGCAATCTATGTGCTTGTTTTTTTGTTTGCACAAAAACCATAACGTGATCATGAAAAGTTCGGCAGATTAAGGCCGCTAATACCGCCTCGCGATCTCCTTCTCTCTCTTTACGTATACTAGAAGTACAATCTTTATGTAATACAAATATCAGTACAAAAAGATAATCATAAAGCATTTACTTACCGAATAAATTCTTGGCGCAAATTGAAGGCTACATCTTGATTGCTATCTACAAATATTTTGATAGGTTTATCGAGAGACACTGCGGCTAAATCTTTGACTTCTTCAGTCATAGTAGCAGAAAACAACATAGTTTGTCTACTTCTTGAGCATTGATTCACAATGTATTTCATTTGTTCAGCAAAGTATTCATCTAACATCCTTAAATCAAAAGAACATTGGTGTTCTGTTAATGTAATATATATATATTTTTTTTTTTTTTTTTTTTTAAA